ACTTACAGGGAATCTAAGGCTTCCAAGTCTTCCAGCAAAGCCTGATGTGGTTTCAGGTTTGTACAATTTTTCTCTCACAGGAGGTTATGAAAATTCTTCGGGGAAGATCCATTTTCTTAAGATAACTCTCTAGCCTTTCAAACAGAGAAGGTAGTCCCGTGTTTGCAAAATATATTACAGAATATCCTTGGATTTTTATTTGGGTTTTTGAATATTATTTTCTTTTCAATCTGTATCTGTCATTTCTTTACATCACTTCTAGTGAAACACACCCAATTCAATCTCTTTTCAAATGCTAATCACTATGTAAATAATCTCACCTCATGGCTCATGCCTGTACTCCCAGGTCTTGGAGGCTGTAAACAGGTGGATCACTATGAGCCCAATGTAGTAGTGAGACTCTGAACACTCTGGAGACCCTTTTCTAAAATACAAATACTACTACTACTACTAATAATAATAACAATAATAATGATAATAACAAAAATATCTCCCATCAGAGATGAAAAAAAGTAACACTAAGTGTTATTTTTCATATATGTTCGTTTGTTTTTGGCTGAACTGGGGATTGAACTCTGGTCGTTGCACTTGCCAGGCAAGCACTTATTCTACTGAGCCATCTCCCTGGCCCCTATTTGCCATATATGAAAATGTATGAAAATATGCATGTTTAACTTAGATACTTCCATTGATTCACACATTTATATTTTATGATAAGTTTTCTGCTTATGGAAAATTGATTTTTATGTGAAAAAAATATATATCTGATTTTGAATAAAGAAATTAAATCAGTACGTTATTTTAATAAATTGACAGATTTATGATGTTTTGCCAAATTTTCATTTGGCATTCTGTGATGTGTACATGAAACATACAAAAGAATCTTTTCAAAAATCTATCCTTTGAAAAAGAGCTGTAGAAGTTTTACATGCCAGTCTTAGTAAGGTAACAAATTACAATAACTTCTAAGTCTATATTTACCATAGTAGAGGAAGAACACTTGGATAAACAAGACAAATGTCGAATGGAAAATTACACGCAGCCTTTGACTGACTTCGTCCTCCTGGGCCTGTTCCCCCCATCAAGGGCTGGCCTCGTCCTCTTCACACTCACCTTCCCCGTCTTCCTGATGGCGCTGGTTGGCAACCTGTGCATGGTCCTGCTCATCCTCCTGGACGCCCACCTCCACACACCCATGTACCTCCTGCCCAGCCAGCTCTCCCTCTTGTATCTCATTTATGTCTGCACCACTGTGCCCAAGATGGCGTCCGGGTTTCTATCTGGGAACAAGTCCATCTCCTTCATTGGTTGTGGGCTTCAGGCTTTCTTTTTTGTGACTCTAGCTGGTGCAGAAGGGCTGATCCTGATGTCCATGGCCTATGACCGCTACGTGGCCATCTGCTTTCCTCTACATTACCCCATCCGCATGAGCAGGAGAGTGTGTGTGCTGATGGTCCTGGGATCCTGGACTGCGGCTGCTGTCAATGCCTGTGCCCACACAGTGTACATCCTCCGTGTCTCTTACTGCAGGTCCAGGGCCATCGATCATTTCTTCTGTGATATCCCTGCCATGCTCTCTCTGGCCTGTGGGGACATTAGGGTCCATGAATACACTGTATTCCTCAGTACTGTCATCTTTCTCCTGATCCCATCCATGATCATTGCATTTTCCTATGGGAAGGTTCTCCTTGCCGTCTGCCGCATGCGCTCCCGGGAGGGCAGGAAGAAGGCCTACGCCACCTGCAGCACCCACCTCACTGTGGTGACTTTGTACTATGCCCCGTTTGCCTACACGTACCTCCGCCCAAAGTCCCTCCGATCTCCAGCAGAGGACAAGGTCCTGGCTGTCGTCTACACCATCCTCACCCCAATGCTCAACCCTGTGATCTACAGCCTGAGGAACAAGGAGGTGCTGGGTGCCCTGGGAAGAGTGAGGGGGAGAATTTGCTATGAAGAACTGTAGGTACATGTCTGTCTCAGCTCTTTTGGCAGTGTGTGCTAACTAGAAAAATGTTCAGTAATGAGGCCTTTGAAGCTGGAATTAATGGTGAGGGTTTGAATATTTGAATGTAGATTTTGATTAAAATGATATCACCTATTGTGCAAATTTTATTTTTTTTGTATCACCTTTTCAATAGAATCAAGTTGCCTGCTTTTTCCATCAATTAGAGCACAATAGTTTATTATAAGATATCACCTAAAGCAGAAAATACAAAAAACTTTAGTTGCTAAACTACTTTGTTATCAAGACCTTTGATGAGACTTTAGTTTTCCAGCAAAGACACATTTCCAGGCATGCCTGTGGCAACCCACACACCTTGGGACACACTCATGGCCCTGCCCG